AGGATTGCAGATCATGGACCTTTGGTCCTGAGAGAGCTGTGTACAAAAAGCCCACATAGTGAGCAACTGGAGCCAACAGGATGAGCCCCCTCTTCTGCTCTACTTTTCCAGCAGAGAACTGGGGGGGGGGGGAGGCGCCTGGGCATAGTGATTGAGTGAAACAGGAAGCTCTGACCCTGCCAGCTGTAAGGAGACACCCTGTTCCCCATCCTTCCAGATACCTCAGGTGGTTCCACTACGTTGTCAAAGATTCCCCCCCGCCGCCTCTCTCTCACCACCTCCACGGCATCTCCTTGCTGCCTTCAGACCTAGAGATCAGCTCCCGCAGATACCGATCTGTATCCATCCATTCATCCCCCCCCTCCACACTTCCCAGACCCTCTTGGATGCAAAAACAATGCCAAGCCCCTCCATCCCCCAGGAGCACGGCTCACATACCTGGGAGGTGGCACCCAGGGCTCCTTCCTCTTCGCTATGGTCAGATCCCAGTGTGCAGGCAGCGTCTGGGTGCCTGGAAGCTGGGGGCTGCCAATGTGGGGCTCTTTGTGCGTCTTAGGGCTGATCCGATGAGGTCCGGACCACCTGTCCCATCCCCCGTCCCTTCTGTGGGTGCAAGCATCACATGTTGAGCTTAGGTGAACCCCGGCGTCCAAGGGCTCAGCCCGAACAGAGCAGTCCTGGGCGGCAGAATGGTCCGGGCCAGGAATGGCTGGGAAAACGCCCGCCTCCCAGCCACGAGGCACTGCCATTGGGCGCCTTCCCCCCATCAGTCACACACAGGGAGATGGGACTGGGAGACGATTCGGCCGGGCGTGGGGGAGTGATCAGGGGGATGGGCTGCCCCCTCTCATCTGGGGAACAGAGCATAGACTCGGGAACCTCCATTGCAAGAAATGGGCCCGATCCTGCTCTTATTAACCCTGGTGTAAATCCAGAGTGTCCCAGCCAGGTGAGGATGGGATCCTGCTCTGAAAGCGAGTCCAGAGTGAGCCCCAATGCGGTTTACACAAGCACCATGGCACAATCAGGCTCCATCAGTTCAGAGCGAGGAGTATGACCTCCCAAGGGCTGAGTCTGGGGCACCTCTCCAGGAGCAGTATTCACATCCCAGGTGTCAAGAGCAAGGTTTGGCCTGAGGCATTAGGGGTAAAATGCTTAAAGGCATGTGCAGCAGGCTGGGAGCCAGAGCTCATAGAACAGCTCCCGGCATCTGTCACTGGCCTTGGTCAAGTCTCCACTCTCTTCTCCTCTGTGTGCCTGTTTCCCCTCCTACACTTTGTCTCTTTCAACTGTGAGCTCTTTGGGCCAGGAATCTCTCTCACTGTGTGTCTGTGCAGCACCCAGCATGACAGAATCCTGACTTCAGTCAAGGTGTGTGGAGCACACCTCACAATGCAGTCTTCCATCTCAGCTGGCATCTGTGCAATGCCTGGCACCATGAGCACCCGGTCTCAGTCAAGGGCTTTATAATATTTGGCACAGCACTGGCTCTGATCTCTGTTGGAGTCCATGCAGCACCTGGCCCAGCAAGGTGCTATGGGTTACTGATATGGGGCTACCATAGTATATGAAACAATAGAATTATGTTGTCACAAGCCTCAAAACAGGGAAGCCAGAGCTCTTGGGTAGGAAGGACTTTACCGAGGCTGTGAAATGATTTTTATTTGTGTTAAAAGCCCATTTAACTAAAAAACTAACAAACACTTGGCAAAAAAGTATTCTCTGTTAATCACTTGAGCTCAGGTTTTCCAAAATGGCTCATCATTTTGGTACTTATCTTGCCATGACTTAAAGGGCCTTTTAACTTTCCCCCGAATATGAAGCCCCTTTGAGGATGCAGGTTAGCAGGTCATTGAGACAGTGTCCTTTCTGGTTGAAATGACAAGCAACTGTCCTGCATCCTACTTCAGAAGACATTCAAATCTGCACTTGAAAGGGAATCCTCTGAACTGGCATTCATGCTAAAATTCGACACTCTCCGCAGGGGACTTAACAAAGACTCCAGCTATCTTACCCATTACAAAGATAGCTTCCCCAGTTATCACCTCTAATACTATTAACTCACCGACATCTACCCTTCCCCACCTCTAATATCATTAACTCACTGGCATTCACCTTCCTTCCTTAAATTGCAGCAAGAGAGGCTTAGGCTGGACATTAGGAAAAACTTCCTAACCATCAAGGTGGTTAATCACTGAAATAAATTGCCTAGGGTGGTTGTGGAATCTCTGTCAATGGGGTGGAGGAGGGTGGTCGCGGCCATGTGTACCAAGGGATGCAATTTAAGGGAATGAACACATATGGAAAGGACACCCCCGCATCCCCCTTCTGTTCTGAAATGTGATTTGTCCTTTTCATATGTGTTCATTTTTTTTAATTGTATCCTTTGGTATATATGGTTGTGACTATTTTCTTCCACTATTTGATCTGAGGAAGTGGGTCTGGCCCACGAAAGCTCATCATCTAATAAACTATCTTGTTAGTCTTTAAAGTGCTACATAGTCCTGTATTTTGTTTCAGCTACACCAGACTAACACGGCTACATTTCTATCACTATTCTACATGGCCTTTTTTGTGTGTGCCTTTTTTTCTCATTGGAATGTGTCTAGCATTTGCTTCCAGCCACTGGCTCTGGTTCTGTCTTTTTCCACAACGTTAAAAAGCCCTGTTGAACCTAACACCTTCTCTCCATGAAGACCCTCAGAGACCATTATCAAGTCATATCTCAAGCTCTCTTTTGATAAATTAAACTGATTGAGCTCCTTAAGTCTCTTTCTGTCAGGCATTTTCTCCAACCCTTGAATCATTGTTGAGGCTCTTCTCTGTACCCTCTTCAATGTTTCAACTTCCTTTTGAAAATGTAGCCCCCAGAACTGGATGCCATATTCCAGGCTCAGAATCACCCCTGGGCAATCCCAGCCCTCTTTTAATCTGCTCCGAGCATGTCACTGTGGATGTTAGCAGAGACCCCTTCTTCTTCAGTGAACAACGTAAGAACAGCCATACTTGGTCACACTAAAGGTCCATCTAGCCCAACAGTGGCCAATACCAGGTGCCCCAGGGGGAATGAATAGAACAGGTAATCATCTAGTGATCCCTCCTGATGTCACCCATTCCCAGCTTCTTGAGTCACCATTCCTACTCATCCTGGCTAACAATCATTGATGGAAATACCCTCCATGAATTTATCTAGTTTGTTTTAACCCTGTTAGAGTCCTGTCTTCACAATATCCTCTGGCAAGGAGTTCCACAGGTTGACTATGTGTTGTATGAAGAACTACTTCTTTTTGTTTGTTTTAAACCTGCTATTAATTTCATTTGGTGGCCCCCAGTTCTTGTGTTATGGGAACAAATAAACAACTTTTCCTTATTTACTTTTTCCACACCAGTCATGATTTTATAGACCTCTATGATATTCTCCTACTCTACCCTTTCCTAAAATGAAAAATCCCGTCTAAATCTGTCCTCATATGGCAGCTCTTCCATACTTCTAAGCATTTTGGTTGCCCTTTTCTGAACTATTTCCAACGCCAAGCTATCTTTTTGAGATGAGGTGACCACACCTGCATATAACATTCAAGATGTTGGTGTACCATTGATTTATGTAGAGGCAATAGGATATTCTCGGTCTTATTTTCTATCCCTTTTTTTATTCCTAAAATTGTTTGCTTTTTTGACTGATGCTGCACATTGAGAGGATGTTTTCAGAGAAATATCCACAATGACCCCAAGATCTTTCTCTTGAGTGGTAACAGCTAATTTATTCCCCATCATTTTATATTTATAGTTGAGATTATGTTTTCCAATAGGCATTACTTTGCATTTATCCACATTAAAATTAATTTGCCATTTTGTTGCTCAGTCACCTACTTTTGTGAGATACTTTTGAAGCTCTTCACAGTCTGCTTTGGACTTCACTATTTTGAGCAGTTTCGTATCATCTGCAAATTTTGCCACTTCACTGTTTACCCCTTTCTCCAGATCATTTATGAGTATGTTGAAAAGGACTGGTCCTAGTACAGACCCCACTAGTTACCTCTCTCCATACTGAAAACATTTATTCCTACCCTTTGTTTCCTATCTTTTAATCCATTATCAATCCATGAGAGGACCTTCCTTCTTAGCCCATGACAACCTAGGGTATGTCTACACTTGCACCCTAGTTCGAACTAGGGATGCAGATGTAGGCATTCGAAATAGTCAATGAAGCAGGGATTTAAATAGCCTGTGCTTCATTAGCATGATCTCGCCGGCATGTTACTCCAATCAACAGCTGTTTCGAAAGTGAAAGTGCGCACTGGGATGCGTTAATTCGAACCAAACCCCTTGGTTCGAACTAACGTTACTCCTCATTTTTTTACTTTCACTTTCAAAATAGCTGTTGATCAGAGTAACGCGCTGGCGAGATCATGCTAATGAAGCACGGGATATTTAAATCCCTGCTTCATTGACTATTTCGAATGCCTACATCTGCATCCCTAGTTCGAACTAGGGTGCAAGACATACCCTTACTTTACTTAAGAGCCTTTGGTGATGGACCTTTTCAAAGGCTTCTGGAAATCCAAGTACACTATATCTACTGGATCCCCCTTGTCCACATGGTTGTTGACCCCCCCCCTCAAAGAATTCTAGAAGATTAGTGAGGCATGATTTCCCTTTACAGAAACCATGTTAGCTTTTCTCCAACAAATTGTGTTCATCAGTGTGTCTAACAATTCATTTCATTATTTAGACTTACTGGTCTGTAATTGCCAGGATCACTTCTAGAACCCTTTTTAAAAATTGGTGTCATATTAGCCAGCTTCCAGTTATTTGGCTCAGGGATAGCCCAAGCCTCATTGTGGAGTCATCTCCAGTCCAGAGAGAGGGGAAATGAGGCATGACGCTGTTATTTCTAGACTAAAAACCAAGTGGAGAACACCATCCCCCTTGGTTTTGTATTTCCAAATTCACCCAGGCTGACCCTATTGACCCAGGAAGCAAACACATGGGGACAGGCATTAACTTTCTTGTTTTCTCAGGTCATTTTTACTGAGCCTCTCTGCAGAAATACAGTGTGCAGATGGGAGGGGTGGAATAGATGGCATCCTCTTTGCAGGGATGGTGGATTAAATACTAGGGGCCACAGCAGCTATTTGTACCAGTGCATAGCAGATGTGGGGTGAGACTCAAGTCACAGGATGGGACCTTATGCAGAGGCAGACATCAGGCTGCAGGAGTTTCAGATGCTCTGTGGCCAAGGCCCCTGCTGAGAAATAGAAGTTCAATGAGAAGCTGGCACAGATTCATTTGCTAGGAGCCAGGCCCACACTCTGACATCTTGGAGCAGCAGGAGAAGATATTCTCAGTGGCCAGGTTGGGATGCAGGGGAGGTATTCCACCCGGAAGCTGCAGCCAGCCAGCAGTGGTTGTTGTCATCTGGTCCCCCAAGGAGGGCGCAAGGGGTCACTGTGGTCCTGGTCCCACCTTCTAGTACTTGGTGGTGAAGTTTGGGAATTCCAGGGTGGAGATTTCCCTTTCATTGGAGAAGACAGCCCGGTCAATGCGAGACATGGGACTTCCCACACGGTGCAGCCAGTTCTTCCTGTGAAGGTGGGGGAAAGAGCATATAAAGGCATCCATAAGGAGAAATCTGGCTCCCAGCCCCCCTGCTTTCACCATGAGACCCTACTCCCTTCCCAGAGTCCCAGCCCCCCTGCTCTAATCATTAAACACCACTTCTATCTCAGAGCTGGGGACAGGAGGACAAAGGAATCCTGGCTCCCTATTTACATAGCTATCATTTACCCAGCCATGATCCCACACAGACAAGGTTGGACTGTAAATTCCATGTGGAACCTGCCTCCTCTTTTATCTCTTTCCAGGACCTGAAGCAAAGATTGGGGAGAGTGGTTGCTATGGAACCTGCCTCCCCCTCCCCCTCTCCCTCCTACATTATCTGGTTCATGAAAAGGGATGGGGGAATGAAGCAGACTGGTTGTTATAGAAGCAGCCCCAATTTGTTCAAGCCCTGAAGGTGGCAGAAATGGGGGGGGGGAGTCTGGTTCCTATGGAAACAATTCCACTTCTCTCTCTGTCTTCAAATGTTGAAGGTGATGGAAAGGGGACTTGCTGCTATGGAAACTGCCTCTGGTTGTCATCGCTCTGAAGATGACGGAGCTGGTTGCTACGAAAGCTGCCCCGCCTGCCCTTCCCGGTTGCCACAGGAGATGAGTGTCTTTATGGCCCCCAAAGAGAGGAATTAATCAGGCACGTTCTCAGGTCCCTTTTGGAGGGGATGTTAATTGGGGACAAGCCAAGGCCCAGATTTCCCAGGTGTTGATTGGCTAGGGCAGCAGCACCAGGGGAACTGCCCTAGTTAGAGGCAGAAGGGTTTCAAATGGGGAACGTTTCAGTCTATGATCCTGCTCCCTGTGCCCAGGGTTTAACCCCTTCTCTCCCAGCGGGGAGGGGGATCAGCTTTGCTCCCCTCCCAGAGTGGCTGACACCATAGGTCTGCAGATCACTGGAGAGAACATAGGTATTTGAAAATGGCTTTGTGCATTCATGAAGGGATGTTTCCCACCTTGGGGATCTCAAGAATGTCAGGGAGCTCTTGGGATTGGGAATTTTCACATGGCCCAGAGGAAGGGTTGCTGGGTCACAGGATTCCTGGGTTCTATTCCTAGTGCAGCCACTGAACATGGACAAGTCCCTTCCCCCCTCCGTGCCTGTTTCCACTGCCATGATTTGTCTGTTTGGACTGAAATGTGGAGGAGGGGGGCAGGCACTGTCTGTGCAGTCAGAGGGGTGTGCGGCACCTCATACAATGGGATTCTGATCTCAGTCTGGGGGCTTCTGTGATGCCGAGAATAATGGGGCCCTGATCTCAGGGGATCTGTGCTGCACCCAGCATTAGGGGGAGGACCCTCACTCAGGAGGGTCTCTGCAATGCTGGGCATCAGGTTGTGGGGGTATGGGCAGCACCTGGTGTCACGGAGGATGTGATCTCAGATGGATAGGGGCATGTAGCACCAACTCAATCTACAGAGAACAGCTGATTAGTAGGTGGTTGGAAAAAGCTGAGAATTCTTAGAGTGAGGCAGGTGCTCAGCTATGCTACAAATGGCCTTCTGAATATGTTCAGCTTGTGTTTGATGTACATGGGTGAAGGGAGAGCTGGGGGTATACAAGGAGGAGTCTTTTCTGTATATCTCCACATCTGGGGAGCAAGACTGGGATCCTGTCTGTTCTCCTCACCTGGAGTGATGCCAGCAACTCCCTACCCCACCACTAGAGGGAGAAAACAATCCCCCAACCCCACGCCTGCTAGCTAGTCACTTCCTCCTGCTCAGATACTCAGAAGGGTGATCTCCATCCATGTTTAATACTGTGCCAACTGGCAAGCTAGGAAGCCTGGTGGATACTCACATGATCTCAACCTTCTCTTTGGGCCCTTGAACCTGCCCAGTCACAGTCCCACGGGGGGTGTTCTTCACCCAGCCAACCACCCCCAGCTTCTTGCCCTGATCTTCTGTGTACTGGAGAGGAAGAGACTGGGTTACCAAGGCCTTGAGTGGAGCCAATGGGCATTTGCCTCAGACTCCACATACAGCCACTCCTTCCCAGTGGGCTGAATGGCACAGCCTGAGTATACACTGTCCAGCATGTTGCTTCCTGAATACCCATGTGGGAGCACAGCTCTGAGGAGAAGGATTCCATCCCATCTGCCTGGGGGAGCTTTTACTCCAGGGAAAGGGCTGGGACAAGCTTTGCCCTGCATTCTACAAGGCTCCCAGCTCTTATATGACTTTGCAAAGGGGTAGCCATATTCCTGGTTGTTGTCTCAGACTCAAGCAGATGGTCCTGCATTGGCTACACTTGGAGCATGTTTTGAACCTTGTCTTTCCAATGGAAGACTCATAAACTTGATTTTTTTTCATTAATGGCCCTGAGATTCTACTGTAATCGGATGGCTCCAGTATCTGGGGCCCAAGGCACAATTCTCTATCCACCTGTGCCTGCATCTGGCCCTGACTCTACACAGTGATCTCATACAGTGAAGTTGCAGGATCCTGTATATCAAGGCAAGAATCATGAGGGCTGGTTGTATTCATGGTTCTGATTGTTCCTGCTTCAGAAAGGAAGAGGCCCAGCATATTGTTGAAGCAAATTCTTGGGCCTACATTTGTGATGTATTTGGCTCCAATCACGTGACCCACACTTCAATTATACCCATTGGTCTTTACTCTAGTAAACGTTGGAAAGAGATTAAAAATTTGGTTTGGTGTGTGCTTAGGTTAGAATAATTCCCTTCCCTACATTTGTGCCACCACCACACACGATAAATGTTTCAAAATCCTTCCTTAACTAGCATCTCATCCAAAACACTATTTATTATCATTAATATTTTGAAAAGTAGGAGGACGGTGACGGATTAAAACAGACTCTTCACTATTTGAGGGGGCACAGCAACTGACTGCACAGGACAGAATCACAACAAGGGGCCCATGTAGCCCAGTATCCCATCTCCAGCAGCAACCCAGTCCCTGTTGCTCTGAGTAAGCTGCAAGACCCCTATTCCCTGGGGAAGTTCCTTCCTGACCTCAAGGCTGTGTCTACACTGGCTGCCTATTACGAAATAGGCATGCTAATTTAGCACTTGGGAAGAGGCAAATCCACGGGGGATTTAAATATCTCCCGCGGCATTTGCATTTTCATGGCCGCCGCTTTTTTCCGGCTTGGAGATAAGCCGGAGAAAAGCGTCCAGACTGGCACGATCCTCCGGAATAAAGCCCTATTCCGGAGGATCTCTTATTCCTACTTGCAAGAAGGAATAAGAGAGATTTAAATCCCCTGCGGATTTGCCTCTGATCCTCCAGAATAGGGCTTTATTCCAGAGGATCGCGCCACTCTGGACGCTTTTCTCCGGCTTATCTCCAAGCCGGAAAAACGCGCCGGCCATGAAAATGCAAATTCCGCGGGGGATATTTAAATCCCCCGTGGATTTGCCTCGTCCCAAGTGCTACATTTGCAGCCTTATTCCGTAATCGGGGCCAATGTAGACGTAGCCCAACAGTTTTATGTTGACTCATGCCCTGAAGCCAACAGTTTTAGATCCCTCTCAAACTCCATTTCTATCACTTAGTATTTACTATATTAACTCTGGACTCTCTCATTACTCACAGACATGGTCAATCCTTCTGTGAACCCTGTTTAGCTCTCAGCCTCATTAGAGTTGCAGTGAATTCCACAGTCTAACCACACACTGAGTGAAAAAACATTTCCAAGGGAGATCTGCACCAATCAACCTCAATGTCCAGAAGGCAGGGTGTCTGGGACAGGATGTTGAACACTTAAATTCACTGCATCAGACTCCTGAGAAACCACACTGGGGCCTTTCAAAAATGTTCATGGTGTGGGTTGCATGGCTATAGAGGTGTGCATGCTTCTCAACCAGGGAATTCTCCTCTTCCCGAAAAATGATGCTCTGTCACCTGAGACCTTTCTCCTCTAAACTGCCTCCTGCACTTGCAAGGCCAAGAGACCATCTGGTCCCCTTCTGCCTTAGACTATCCTCTTCAGCAAGCAGCTCCTGATGGTGGCTCCCATTTCAAATATTACTGCTGATCTGGGAGCCATGACAGCAATTTCTGTTTGGTAGCACAGACCCTAGTGCCTCCAACTTGGCTGGTTCCTCCTCCCTGCCCACAGTTGCTCACACTGGCTTTGGAAGAAACAAAATACAGGACTATGTAGCACTTTAAAGACTAACAAGATGGTTTATTAGATGATGAGCTTTCGTGGGCCAGACCCACTTCCTCAGATCAAATAATGGAAGAAAATAGTCACAACCATATATACCAAAGGATACAATTTTAAAAAAATGAACACACATGAAAAGGACAAATCACATTACAGAACAGAAGGGGGCACATTGCAGAACAGAAGGGGGATGCGGGGGGGTGGGAAGGGGGAGGAAGGAAGGTAAGTGTCTGTGAATTGCTGATATTAAAGGTAGGGAGAGTGGGATGTTTGTGAGTTAATGGTATTACAGGTGATAATTGGGGAAACTGTCTTGGTAATGGGTGAGAAAGTTCAAAGACTTGTTAAGTCCTTGTTGGTAAGTGTCGAATTTTAACATGAATGACAGTTCAGAGGATTCCCTTTCAAGTGCAGATGTAAAAGGTCTTTGTAGCAGAATGCAGGTGGCTAAGTCATTTAGAGAGTGTCCTTTCTGGTTAAAGTGGCAAGAAACTGTTTTCTCTTTGTGATCTTGTCTGATATCTGTTTTGTGGGCATTAATCCTTTGGCGAAGTGTCTGAGATGTTTGTCCAATGTACATAGCAGACGGACACTTTCGGCACATGATAGCGTAGATTATATTTCTGGATGCGCAGGAATATGTGTTCTTGATCTTATAACTCACTTGGTTAGGTCCAATAATGGTATCAGCAGAATGAATATGTGGACAAAGCTGGCAACGGGGTTTGTTGCAAGGGAAGGTACCAGGGTTGGTATTAGTGTGGTATGTCCTGTGGTGGTTGGTAAGAATCATCTTGAGGTTAGGTGGTTGTCTATAGGAGACTATGGGTCTGTCTCCCAGAGCCTCTTTGAGTATGGTATCCTGTTCCAATATAGGCTGTAGTTTATTGATAATGTGTTGGACAGGTTTAAGTTGGGGGTTGTAGGTGATGACAAGTGGTGTTCTATTGTTGGTTTTCTTGGGTCTGTCTTGAAGTAGATGGTTTCTAGGTATTCGTCTGGCTCTTTCAATTTGCTTTTTTGTTTCTCTGGGTGGGTAGTTGAGATTTATAAATGCTTGGTAGAGATCCTGAAGCTTCTGGTCTCTGTCAGTGGGGTTAGAGCAGATGCGGTTGTATCGAAGGGCTTGGCTATAGACGATGGATCGTGTGGTGTGTTCTGGATGGGAGCTGGATGCATGTAGGTAACTGTATGAGTCGGTGGGTTTTCTGTAGAGAGTGGTGTCTAATTTTCCATTGTTGATTTGTACTGTGGTGTCCAGGAAGTGGATCTCTCGTGTAGAATGGTCCAGGCTGAGGTTGATGGTGGGGTGTAGGTTGTTGAAATCTCTGTGGAATATCTCCAGTGTTTCTTGGCCATGTGTCCAGATCATAAAGATGTCATCGATGTACCGTAGGTAGAGGAGGGGTGAAAGGGGACGGGAGTTGAGGAAACGTTGTTCTAGGTCAGCCATAAAGATATTAGCATACTGTGGGGCCATGCGTGTACCCATGGCTGTGCCGCTGATCTGGAGGTATAAGTTGTTCTCAAACTGGAAATAATTGTGGGTGAGAACGAAGTTACATAGGTCTGCTACCAGGTTGGCAGTGGTGTCCTCTGAGATAGTGTTTCTAATAGCTTGTAATCCGTCTTCATGTGGGATGTTGGTGTATAGTGCTTCTACATCAATGGTGGCAAGGATGGTGTTATTGGGGAGGTTATCAATGTTTTGTAGTTTCCTTAGGAAGTCAGTAGTGTCTAGGAGGTAGCTGGGGGTGTTGTGTTGTTGTCTCAGACTCAAGCAGATGGTCCTGCATTGGCTACACTTGGAGCATGTTTTGAACCTTGTCTTTCCAATGGAAGACTCATAAACTTGATTTTTTTTCATTAATGGCCCTGAGATTCTACTGTAATCGGATGGCTCCAGTATCTGGGGCCCAAGGCACAATTCTCTATCCACCTGTGCCTGCATCTGGCCCTGACTCTACACAGTGATCTCATACAGTGAAGTTGCAGGATCCTGTATATCAAGGCAAGAATCATGAGGGCTGGTTGTATTCATGGTTCTGATTGTTCCTGCTTCAGAAAGGAAGAGGCCCAGCATATTGTTGAAGCAAATTCTTGGGCCTACATTTGTGATGTATTTGGCTCCAATCACGTGACCCACACTTCAATTATACCCATTGGTCTTTACTCTAGTAAACGTTGGAAAGAGATTAAAAATTTGGTTTGGTGTGTGCTTAGGTTAGAATAATTCCCTTCCCTACATTTGTGCCACCACCACACACGATAAATGTTTCAAAATCCTTCCTTAACTAGCATCTCATCCAAAACACTATTTATTATCATTAATATTTTGAAAAGTAGGAGGACGGTGACGGATTAAAACAGACTCTTCACTATTTGAGGGGGCACAGCAACTGACTGCACAGGACAGAATCACAACAAGGGGCCCATGTAGCCCAGTATCCCATCTCCAGCAGCAACCCAGTCCCTGTTGCTCTGAGTAAGCTGCAAGACCCCTATTCCCTGGGGAAGTTCCTTCCTGACCTCAAGGCTGTGTCTACACTGGCTGCCTATTACGAAATAGGCATGCTAATTTAGCACTTGGGAAGAGGCAAATCCACGGGGGATTTAAATATCTCCCGCGGCATTTGCATTTTCATGGCCGCCGCTTTTTTCTGTCTTGGAGATCAGCCGGAGAAAAGCATCCAGACTGGCGCGATCCTCCGGAATAAAGCCCTATTCCGGAGGATCTCTTATTCCTTGCAC